ACTAAATGATACCCCTGCCTCCATATAGTAGTAGTTTTAATGGCAAAGTCCATGTTTTGCTGTGGCCGAAAAACCCAAAATATGTGTGGGATCAAAAAGTAAAATAGGAGGTGCACAATGGCAATATGTAATAAAGATTCTGTGAAAGTTTCATCATTCAGTGGTATGAGAGGAGTTGCGGATAAGAGATGGGTACCCCAAACCATAACAGACGAACGGACGTACAGACGGACGGAATTAACGATTACTATATACCCTCCCACTTTTCAAGCGGGGGGTATAATGAGAGTACCAAATCCCCGGATAAGCACATGGCTTTTTTGTGGAAATGTAGAGTAGAGTGCTGAATAGGTAGGCGTTAACTGATTGGCTGAAATGTGGTATGTAATATTTTTCATTTTAAAGTAAAAATATTAATGTTTGAAATAAATGATGGAATGTAGGAATATTATAGAAACTAGAGGTACTGTGAGCGATGAGCTCACTAAATGATACCCCCCGCCTCCATAAAGTTATAATGGCAAAGTCCATGTTTTGCTGTGGCCGGGAAACCCAAAATATGTGTCGAATCAAAAAGTAAAATAAGAGGTGCACAATGGCAATATGTAATAAAGATTCTGTGAAAGTTTCATCGAATTTCATTCAGTGGTATGAGAGGAGTTGCGGATAGGAGATGCGTACCCCAAAACGTAACAGACGGACGGACGGACAGACGTACAGACGGAAGGAATTAACGAGAACTATATACCCTCCCGCTTTTCAAGCGGGGGTATAAATATAGAAATACCAGGCGAGATTGTAGGAGCGGGAATTGATTTTTTTGGCAGAGTGTCGATTTACTGCCGATACCTATAAGTTTTAAACAACTGCAATTTTGACCTATAAACTCCATGGGACTCTATATTTTTTTTCGGGATTTTTATACCCCCCGCTTGAAATTTAATGAAACTTTCACAGAATCTTTTATTACATATTGCCATTGTGCACCTCCTATTTTACTTTTTGATCCGACACATATTTTGGGTTTCCCGGCCACAGGAAAACATGGACTTTTTTTTACCAGTTATAACCATATGGGAGGCGGGGGGTATCATTTAGTGAGTTCATCGCTCACAGTACCTCTAGTTTTTATAAGCGCTTGGATTTAAGTTTCAAGCGATGCAAAGGAATTGTCTGAAATTAAATTAGTATAGTAGTGAGAGGACAAAAGGTTTGTATAGAGTTCTATGGGAAAAATGATTGGTACTCTTTTTCCCTCTAGAGACCCCAATTTTTAAAATGGTAAGTGAATTTAATCATGAAAACTGAAAAGTGATTTTTTATACCCCCCGCTTGAAAAGCGGGAGGGTATATAGCAATCGTTAATTCCGTCCGTCCGTCTGTTACGCTTTGGGGTACCCATCTCTTATCCGCAACTCCTCTTATACCACTGCATCAAATTTGATGAAACTTTCACAGAATCTTTATTACATATTGCCATTGTGCACCTCCTATTTTACTTTTTGATCCCACACATATTTTGGGTTTCCCATAGCAGACACTGCCATTTATACACATATGGGAGGCGGGGGTATCATTTAGTGAGTCCATTGCTCACAGTACCTCTAGGTTTTTGCTCTTTCTTTGACTATTGATGACACACCGAGAGTCCTTGGTAAAGGGAGGGGGGGTATAGTGAGAAGAATGTAGACATTAGTATAGCGTGGTGCGTGCATTTGATATTGTCAGAGGTGATTAATGACAAGGTTATGGACTATATGCTCCAAGGTCTTACAGCATACAGATGTGAGAGACACTGGACGGTAGTTAGATGCTCTGGATTTGTCCCCTTTCTTGAATAATGGAGTGAAATATGCTGTCTTCCGATCATCTGAGACTTTCCCTTGGTCTTATGATGATTGGAATATGATGGTTAGTATAGAAGACACTGATGTTGCTATTGCTTTCAAAAATCTGGCTGATATGTTGTCTGGTCCACTAGCCTTGTTTGGCTTCAGGTTATGCAATAGTTTGAGGACACCTTTTCTGTGACTTTGATGTTATTTACCCCTTGGTAGGTTGATTGACCATGGTCCGGTAGGTTACTTAGTGACTCTGTATGAGAGACAGATGAAGTACGGTAGGTTACTAAGTGACTCTGTATGGAAGATAGATGAGGTCCGGTAGGTTACTAAGTGACGCTGTATGGAAGAGAGATGAAGTTCAGTAGGTTACGAATTGACTCTATGGAAGACAGATGAGGTTGGGTAGGTTACCAAGTGACTCTGTATGGAAGACAGATGAGTTCCAGTAGGTTACAACTGTAAGTGACTTTATATGGAAGACAGATGAGGTTCGGTAGGTTACTAAGTGACTCTGTATGGAAGACAGATGAGGTTCGGTAGGTTACCAAGTGACTGTATGGAAGACAGATGAGTTCCAGTAGGTTACTACTGTAAGTGACTTTATATGGAAGACAGATGAGGTTCGGTAGGTTACTAAGTGACTCTGTATGGAAGACAGATGAGGTTCGGTAGGTTACCAAGTGACTCTGTATGGAAGACAGATGAGGTCCGGTAGGTTACTAATTGACTGTATGGAAGACAGATGAAAACTGCTGATTCAAGATTATTGCCTTATCCTTTGGACTGGAGTGAAGCAATTAATCCTCGTTCTGCAAGGGGGAGACACATGAACTGTCACAGCGCTTACTCTTGATGTACGAGTATAGCTTCTTGTTGGAATGGCCCTCCTCTCCTAACATATTGCTAATATATTTGAGGTATGACTTTCTACACTCTTTCCAGTTGGTACTCTGGGCTTTATGATATTTTCTCCAATCATTCTGGGTGTTTGTCATGCGGGCCCTCCTATGTGCACGGCGTTTCCTTCTACTGAGTCTCCGGATGTTCCTATCACACCATGGTTGATTGAAACGACTTGAAGTGAACTTTGATGGTACATGTGTATTAATGGAATGAGTGCAGATGTTCTTGAAGTCATTCTAAATCACATCTACTGGTGCATTGTTGATGGCATGCTGCAGAAATCTGGCTAGATTCTTCGTCAAATCGGAACTAATAGCGCCGGTGTCTGCTTTAGACCAAAGTCTAGCTCCTCAGTGGATGACGTCAATGTGCTGATTTCTATGGCACGCCAAATTCACAAAAATGAAATAATCATAGTTTCACAATCGATAAACCAGGTTTATCGGTTGTAAACTATAGTTTACGAACTGTAAACTATAGTTAAAACGTTAATCTACATTTCACATCTGTAAACCATAGTTAACGCGATAATCTATGTTTCACAACCGTTAACTATACTTAACACCGAAAACAATCATTTGCAATTGCAAAACATAGATTTTCTGATAAATACAGTTTCACGATTTGTAACTATAGTTTACAAACCGTTAACTATATAGTTTCACGATTTGTGAAACTATGATTAACAACTTCTAACTATAGTTAACGATCGTAAATTATAGTTTACAGACGTGAACCTATGTTTATCAACAAAATCTATTGTTAACGTTTCATTACAGACAGATAAACTTAGATTATCATTCGTAAACTATAGTTAACAACCGTTAAATATAGTTTTACAGATGAAAACTATACTTAACGAATCGTTAACTATAGTTTACGGTTTGTAAACTATAGTTTACAGTCGATAAACCTAGTTTATCAATTGTGAAACTATATGATTGTCTCATTTTTGTGAATTTGGCGTCCCATAGATGTCAATTAATACAATGTCATGATCACTAAGTCCTGGAATTGATCTTGTTTTATGAAGAAAGGATGGTCTATTTCTTGCAAAGATGTCAAGGATGTTATTACCACATGCTGGGAAGTCGATGACTTGCTGACATCCAAGATAACTAAATGTGTCTATAAACTGTTGACTGATGGTAATTGGATAGTTATATTATATCCCTCAACTGAATCACATGCCCAGTTGATATCGAGGAGATTTGCGTCCCCGCCATAGTCCCCGCCACACATCCATTTAAGAAATAAAATATCATTTTTAGAGTGGTCGCGTGATCAAATTCTATAACGCCCGAAGGGCGTTATCACACCTCCCAACCTTATTAATATTCAGGGTCATGAACCCAAGGGAGAATTCATTGCATCAGATATTTTCTTTAAACAAGGAAAGACAACTCAAGTTTTTCTTTAATGCTATAGTCAGTTTCTTTTATCAATTTATATACATTTAAATTGTGATAAAATTGGGGGGGGGGAGAAAAAAGATATTGTGAGATATGTCTTATATTTCATTAAGATCACTTCTGGTCAATTTTTATGTTGAATAAGTAAAACATTAACACAGTGTATTTTCAGTATGAAATACTACATAGGTATATGAATGTGTTTACTAAATTTCTGTTTAATAAATAGAGGTAAATTGAGTTTCAAGTATACCTGATTTCACATATACATGTAAGCTACATATCTGCAGCTACTAGTACATGTAAATAGATCTGAAAGGTATCTATCTACATAATCATATTCAGTTATAAATGTTTTCTGTTCACTGAATTCAACAAAAATAATTTAAACTGATTAGCACACCATCTATATATCATGACTCATATTGAAAAAAAGAAAAAGTAAAGAAACAGCGTGCAATCATGTTTTTATTTACAAGAAATTTACTAAGCACTACATGTAGACAGACAATGGAATGTTCAACAGCAAATAAGTTGTATATTACAGGCATATGTTATAATAAAGATTATGCTGTTTAAAAATGAAATAAAAATTTATAAATCAATATTTAGTTACCCTTCACAAGATCTCCAAATTTTGACTACTTTTAATAAACAAAATTAAGTGCACATGTACATTCTAAATTTTTTTTTTCCTACTAAAAAAAGTTCCATTTTTTAAAGATAATCAACCTTACAATAAAATTCAGAGTAAAAATCTTCAAGTGTTTCTTTCTTTACTAATCTGGTTTAAAATACATGTGTAATTACAATATGTAATTCAAATAGTTTAAGTATGCAAAAGCAGTGAGAGCTACATGAAGCTATTACCTCCCTTTTTTGCAAACATTTTCTATACTGTGATTGAATTAAAAACATCAGTTTTTAGTTATAAATCTTATCTTATCATTTTATAAACTATGAAGTCACCTGCATGGCACAGTAGCAAGAGCATCTGCTCGAGAGTCATTAGTAGGGAGTTGATCCATGAATTGCTGGTTCGAAATCCCACAGTCGGACATAGATGAGACTGTATATACAGAGGTCCTGTGTTGCAGTAGGTGCTAGTACCAAAAAGATCCCTCATTGCTCAATTAGCCATGTATGCCAGGTAAAGGACAAAATTTGAAGCTCTCCACCGACAAATGTTGGCATCCCCATATGAGTGAAAATTTCTCAAGAAGAATGTTAAACAACGTACAAATTAACAATAAACTATAGAGTCTTTAAGTATGCAAATTCTTTTTTCTGAGAAAGGGATCCTCAAATGATGTTTAGATATGGTTCATATGAGTAGAAATGTACTGTATCATCCCTAGCTAGTCTTCATGAATTCAGCAACCATTTGTTATATGGCCTGAAAAATATAAAATGTTAATGCATTAACATAAAAGTATATGATTGATATTTTTATAATTCATCATAAATTAATTGAATCAATAAAATAAAATCACACTTGTTATCTTGAAATGGTCATGGGACTGCTGAAAAAACAGATATCCAAGAGATTCACTGGGTAAGATATATAGAAAAAAATGTCGTTCAAGGGACTTTAAAATGACTTTGATGTCTCAATGTGTTCAAAATATCACTCAGTGTCAACTGTCAAAGATATATATCAAAGTTCAACTCTAAACAGAGTAAATAAAATTCATATACATGTATGCCATTTACAGTTGCTAATTCAATCTATCATTGTTCATTAATAATCTGCATGAGAAAGAGATATGCACAAAATGAGCAAATTAAATTAACAAAAGTAAATCATATATATGCAATTCCAAGTGTTTGCAAATCATTCATCCAATTTGTAATACTGTCATGAACATCAACATACCCTAGGTAGTAAAAGTTTTTTGATTTTAAGATACTGCTGTGTAACTGTACTTATTTAGACTGCACTGTATTCACTTGTTTCCCAACAGTACACATTTTTCACATTATCTGAAATCCATCTTTACTGACATGATGAGAGTTATGCCCCTTTTCTATAACCCAAAAATATTGCTTTCTTTCTGAAAACTGTAGCTTTTTTAACCTTACATCGATATCAACTAAAGTCTCCATAAAATAGAAATTTAAACTATGAAAACTTATATTTTAATCTATACTTAACTTAAAAGCCAAGAAATAAACAAAATGATTTTCCAATATTTACATAGGACTTTTAAGATAAACATTCTGTTTCTAATTATGGCACATCCATTACCCTTGATTCTGGGATACTGTACTAGGATGTATTCATTCAAAAAATATGATGTATCGTGGCCCTGATAATCTTGAATAGATTTCATAATAAAAGGCTTCAGCCTTAAATATTGAATAAATTTTTGACCTCCCACTGTGGACCCACCCTACTCTATAGCTATATGATCTGAACAAATCTAAATCTGCTCTTAACTATCTCAGAGTGACTATTAATGACTTGCCTATTCTTGAAAAGAATTAAGATTTAATTTTTTGTCTACGGATTACTATCGTTCTCTCTATTTTATTGCTGTACTCTATATACCGTACATCAATGACATACCATCACCAGTGATCAACATACCTTCTCTTTGGACTTGACATCCTTTCCTAGATTCTCATGGCTGAAGCTTTCATCAGATAATTTGTTTTGTTACAGCTGAACTACAAATATGATTAATAAGTTAATACAATCCTCTATATTAAATTAATCCAAATAAAATACAAGCATTTGCAATAATATGGAAAGAAAACTGAATGAAAAATACTGACAAATATCAATGCACTACATGCAAATCAGAAAAATATGTAATGCAATCATTTACAGTTTGCATAATATGCTGATTATGTGTCAGCATATTTTTCAGTTCATTAAATTGTTTGCTGAAACAGACAACCAACTGTGTTTATAAATTCTCTTTTAATGGATTTTCTTCTGCCTTTGAACTTACATGTACTATTTTGCAGCATGATAATGTGAGAATTTTTGCACCCATTCTTTATTATTCAAGTATCTGCTGAAAATAGAACAGAATGTGATTAAATCTTTTGAGAATTAAACAAAAACAAAAATCACTGATGCATGATTTTCAATTATATTGACCCTTTCATCTCTCTCTCTCTCTCTAACTATATATAACTTTACACAGGATTCTTTTATACATTGATATACCTGTACATGTAGATATTGAAGTAATTAGGCATGTTTAATATCATTTATTTATTTATTCCAATCAGCATGATCAGGATGATAATAATTAAATAATAATGTTGCATATTAAATATTTTATAATTTTATCCTTACATTTACATATACAATACTCACAACAGGCAAA